CTAAGTTAAATCGTAGAATTCAATAATTTTATATACTTTAACTGATTTGTCTAGTTGTTTCATGAAAAACATAGATATTTTATGAAATATGATTTCACACTTTAACGGGGTAATATATATATATATATATATATATATATGTAATACAAGAATTAAATGCTTTTGTATTAATAAAAGAATTAAAACTCTTTCGTTTTCATAAAATGTCTTTGTTAAAGAATAAGCGTAAAGCTATTCTATTTTGGGAATTCAAGACTGAAAACATACCATTGAAATATAAATAGATTTATATTTCAAGGGAAGAGTTATTTTTAGAATCGTTCCCTTTTTCAATTCCATATAAGGAAGCAGAAATGATTTTCCTTAATGCGTAAGGTTACAAGGAATGTACGANAACCTTTCTGAAAGGTATTTCCGTTGGAGTAAAAAGGCACATTCGTACATTCCTTGTAACCTTACGCATTAAGGAAAATCATTTCTGCTTCCTTATATGGAAGTGAACGAGGGAACGATTCTAAAAATAACTCTTCCCTTGAAATATAAATCTATTTATATTTCAATGGTATGTTTTCAGCCTTGAATTTGAAATAGATTCTCTCTACGCTTATTCTTTAACAAAGACATTTTATGAAAACGAAAGAGATTTAATTCTTTTATTAATACAAAAGTATTTAATTTTTGTATTACAACCTTTCTTTTATTTTTAATGTTAGTTCTTACTTGTTACATTTTGTCAAGTTCTCGGTCATTAAAAAAGAAAAAGAAATTTCAGTTTATATAAAACAAAGAATATTCATTTTCGGGCATTTTGATTTGGTTGCGTAGCCTTTTTGTCTGTTGGTTTGCAATTTTTTTTTAACCAAGTGGAAGTCATAGTGTGATTACGTAGCGCGAAAGTGTTAGTTTGCAGTGATCATGCACATTACTCATCAAATTACAGTAAAAACTTGCTACAACTTAAGGAAAGTAAAATTAGTTGTTGCTTCTAACACCACTTGCCAATACTAACAGGCCTGCTTGATGAAACCAAGAGAATTTGAGGCAGAGGGTGCGATTCTTGTTTTACTGAGGTGCCATCTTTGGCCAAGGATATGACTCCAGCCACACACACACGGCACAATCCGTTTTAAAGGGTGGGCTCGTTCATACATCAATTCATTTATCCACAGATCGAAATTCTGATTTGAACCAGAGAAAGCTCCAACTCAGTACCCCGAGAGGTATGTTTTAAGAATCCGGAGGACTTTGTAAAATGACAGATTTAACGTACACCATACACGGGGAACTAACTGAATGACGCTTAATGTTTTTAGAAAGAGATGCTGATTAGTAATGTTAAAATCTACTTTGCATCAAGTCCATGGGATGTTTAAGGGCAGTTTATTCGGCAAAAATGATTTTGTTGAAATAATAGCTTACTTCGTTTGTAGTACTCGAGAAAGAGTTAAGAGACAATCAGTTATTCATTGCAACGTGATACCTTTGCATGAAAAAATACCTGCTACAGAAGATTCCTTTATTTTTAAGTTCGAATGAAAGAAGTATTTCAGGAGAAGAATTGAACAAATTTTGTTAGCACTATTAGCTTATCAGAAAAATCGGAGAAAAAAAAACTTAAACCAGAAGTGCAACAGATGAAACAAAGATATATTCAATGCAAGTGGTGAAAGGCAACTTATTTAGTAAGTTTTACTATTACTTCTAAAGTTTTCACTTTTCTAGCAAGTTTCACATTTTTTCGTCCTCCACTATAATGTGTCCTATTATGATGTCGAACGAAAAGCTGTTTATTCTGCTAATGACAGTGCTGAAGAATATATGCAATTAAGACATGATTTTAACTAGTTAGAAGCTGATCTTCTTCCTTGAGCTTCGTAGTTTGTTTTTTTTTGACACTTTTTTTTTCTTTCTAAAACTATCCCAATTCAATTCAATTCACCAATCAATATTTCTTGAAAGGTAGTTTATTATGATACCTAAACCTGTTTTCAGATTTTCGATAAGTATCTTTATCTAATTCGCCTAAATTACGTTAAATGTTTTTATTATCATCGAAATTTGATTTATTAAAGTGATGGTAAAACAAGAATTGAAAAAAAATTTGAACACAATCTATCCAAATTATTACTTCCCCAGCAATAATTTCACATGGGTCCTAGTTGGGCTCAAAACTGGCTCAATATGGGTCCTATATGTACATGTACCGAGAGACCCATATTGAGATATCTAGATTTTTCAATATTGGTCTTATAAAGGGCCAATATTGGCCTATGTGCAGAGGCCGATATTGGTTGTAATGTGGCTTTTAGATATACGGGTGAATCAAACAAATTTCTATATAAGGCCAATATCTGCCCTTTGAGCCCTCCCCCCCCCATTGAGCCAAGATCCGTGGATAAAGTTATTTTGCTGCTAGGGTTACCTCATTTTGCGGCTTTATATTTGTGTTGATAGGAGTTTTTAAAATGACCAAGCGTTATTTCCTATAATCTAACCAACGACAAAAAAAGGTCGAAAAATTTTAAAATTAAGCCTGAAGTCTAGATGAATTATGCCCTCTTAAAATTTCATGTTTGTATTTAAAAATTAAATCATTAAATTAAAAGTTATACAGGTGTTTTGTTTAGTCACTGTAAATTAGTTATTACTATTGAAAACAGCACAAATCATGTCACATAAACAGACATATATCACATTCTGTATCAGATGAATGAAAAAAAAATTGCTTTAATTCTACTGAAAAACGATTGTAAGTCTGTTTATGGGATTGTGCTGGTTGTTTTGGTTTTTATCAGCATAGAGGTAATCCATTCTCAATTTAGAACCAGAAAAGTTTGAGCTTAAACACAATTTGTGTAATGATATCGAAAAATTATGGAGTTATAGGTCATTAAAGATTCTTAGTTAGAGAAATGGATTGTATGGCTGAAATTTCATGAAAGCTTAGAACTTAGTGGAAAAACAAGTAAATTTGAGAATTTCAGATTTAGAGTGTATCGAAACAGCAAAATGCATCAAATCCTATTTTTCGTAGAAAGCCACATTTATTAATATCCCCCCAAAATAGTGTTTCCTACTTTGAACAGATGCAGTAGCATATATGTATATAGTCTTTAGATAGTGATATAAAAAATGTTAAAATTATTGTTAAATGAGCCATGATAGGCCAAAGACGATAAACTGTCAATGTGAAGAACTGTAGTTTTAACTGCAGGGGTGGTTTGAAGCCTACCCATCATCCATTGGATGGGTATGAGCTTGTAAATGCGGCAGTTGCGCATTGCTGACAACTTTTCCACAATCATGCGGTGGGTTTCGGCCTTAACTTCCATGAATCCCTTGGCCCCTAACAAGCTGTTGAGGGAATCTAATTGTAATCTAAAAGACATAATTGTAGTTAAATATAAGTGTTGTTGAAAATTGAGTGTTGAATTTTGGAATTCTCAGATCAACGCATTAACAGAAATTTGCTTTTGTGGAGGACATTTTGAGTCAAATTGACCAGCAACTAGTTCACACAGAGAGGAAAACCATGAAAATCTCTAAGAGTTAGTCCGACGGCAAGGGGACTTTAAATTTCTATCTCTAAGATTATTTTAAGACACAGTGGTCGTTGCAAACAGTTTTAACCATGGCATTAACCCCTATCACTGTCGGAGTCGTATCCCATACGTTCGACGTTTTTGTGCCCGTAAGGTCGGCATATTTCACCACCAATAGGTCAAGCAAAAACTGCTTGCTAACAAAATTATTTTGCATTTTCGAACTTAGGATGGGACATAGATTAGTTTTCAGCAACAAAAAAAAAAGTTTTTTTGAAGAAAGTTCGACAGACATGGGATTAATAACAACACCAGTGCTGTGAGTTTATGAGTATTAAGAGCAATGCAGTAACGTGGAGTCGTGAAACGGAGAGTTAGTAAAGGGGAACAAACTGATGACCATCAAGTGTGGCTATCAGAATAAATGAGAAGTGAGAATTTAAGATTTAAAATAAAATTACGGTAATTGAATATCGTACCACAATTGAAAAGCTTTTTAATTGCTTATAAATTTATAATTCCGTTCCTTATTCGCCATCAATTTACTTATTCTCTAATATACCGATTCTCTGTTAGCGCAGTAAGAATAGATAAAAAAAATTTAAAACCATTAAAAAAAAAAGGTTCTAACCTGCGCAAACTGATAAAATCTTTCGCAAAAACCGAGTTGTTGGCATTAAGGGTAATATATGCTCAATCGCTGCAGAACAGTATTAATTATACTTTTTTTTACCATTAATGATTACAATTGTACAAACTACTTTTAATCTTGGAAAAACAAAGCATCGATATTGGCAGTGTAACTTAATATGATGTAATATGTTAATCCATTAATGAGCCATTTATTTCTAGTAAGGGTAGGTACATTAAAATATTTTCTGAATTTAGATGAAAAAATTCATTTAGATTAGTGGATAAAGTGGATTTTAACAACATTTTTTTGTGGTAAGTATGTCTAATACTATCCAACAGGCGTTATACGAAAGTAAGAAATTTAATTACTTTCATTTCTTTTAATTTGTAAAATAAATTTTATAATTACTCCAAACTGAAAAAAAGAATTATATATTATAACTTATTTTACATTCCCTAAAAACAGGCATATTGTAACCAATTTTATTCAATATTACTTGCATTCGAGTTAATAACAAATGGCATATCAAAGTTCAAGTGGTGGTAAATATGATTACCAAGGCCTTAGAAAGGGTTGAAATAAGAGAAAAACTTTAGAACTGATTAAAATTAAACATCGCGTTATCTCTCAAATAAAAAGAGTTGGACCCTTTCAAGCGCTTCTCAATGCAAATTCAAATATTTTTCAGTCGATGTGCAAAAAATTATAAATTTAAATGTGGAGAATTATTATGGCGTCACATTTTTGGGGACAAAAATCGTGAACAGAAATGAGAAAATAAAAAATATATATATATAAAATGAATACAATGAAAAACAACATGATACGTTTGTGTTAATTAAATTTATTGCATATTGCATAAAATTCAAAATTCTGCAAAATGTGGAAAAGCTCACATTAATATTAAAATAATTTATAGATCTCTACAGTAAAACTTCTGAAGACGTAACATTATTATTACTTCAAAAAGCGGTTTTCTTGGACAAATTTGTTGGATGAAAATATCGGAGAGGCTCCATTTCTTTCCATTTAAATCTGTTATTTTGATTTTCTATCTCCTTTTTTTTAGTGTGGTTTTCTGACTAACTAAATAAATGAGACTTGTAGAATAGTTCTAATTAAATGGCGCTGTGTAATTGTTTTGAAAAAATCATAAAAAGAGCACTGTTTTTTTCGATCAAATATGTCTTTATCTTCTTTTATATATATGTGATTTTAGTATACTATTGTAAACTCAATATTTTGGAATTAGTTTCGGTTTTAAAAGCCTCACTAAGCATATTCGTTCCATACACGTCCTGGTTCGCTTGATTCCGATTGCAGACGATTGAATGTTAACTGAAAAAAGTCGTTTGGAATTAAAAATTGGATCAACGCGAGAACGTGACATTTTGTTATCAACATAAATGATATCGATGGCGGTGGTGGCACCACTCATCGATGTGCTCTCAACTCTGATGGACTCTCCTTCCGAGAGGGTTCATCATTTTCAGCTAATGGTCGAATATTAGATGATATCCCTCATCCCATATCATCGTCATCTTCTTGATCCTTGATGATGCCAATTCGTCTTCCGCAACTGCGAACTTTGTGGATAACTTCTTCTTGCATCAGATTAAAGCACATGGCAATCAAGGCCATTCCGAACAGCAGGTAAAGAGAGCACATGACTAGTTTCTCCTGAGAGCCTCCATCAGAAATCACCGAATCACCTGGAACGAGATCTCCAAAACCTGCAAATAAATATGCAACCATTATAATTTTATGAGTGAAGAAGAACTGTTCACATTACTAGTCGATATCCGTCTGAAATTTATTTAAAGTGTGCTCGATCAAAGTATATGATATAAGGGACGATTTTATAATGGCTTGGTGACACCAGACGCCTTGGGCATGATTAATAAAACAAAGCATATCTTCATTTCGATAATTGCGCTATCGATAATTGAAATGAAGATAGGTCAATAATTTATATGAAGATATGATATGATATTTAATTATGTATGTCGATAATTTACATGAAGATATTTGATATTTCATTATATATGTCGATAATTAATACAAAGATATGTTATATTTTATTATATATCTCGATAATTTATATGAAGATATGATATGATATTTTATACGATATGATATTTTAATGAATATATGTAAGAATTTCATTGTTACATATCTTCATTTCGTTAAATTATAATTCGATTAAAATATTAAATTTTTAATATTTAAAAACACTTTTGGAAAAAGACAAGGTTGAGACAACCTGAAATTTTTTTAAACGTGGTAGCAAAATTAAAAAAAAAAAAAATGTTTTTTCGTATCTACCAAAAAATTAAATTAAAAGCATAAAATAACCATAGCTGCCGTTTTTACGCTTTTTTGATAAGTTTTTCTTGTAGTGGCAGAGATAAGACGATTGATTTTACAATTGTCATCATGAATTTTTTTAAAAACCTTTAATCAACATTGGCAGGACTTTTATATATTTATATAAATTATATTGTTGCAATAGTTGTCGAACTCATTATAAATCTATTTCGTTAAACATCGCTAAAAATAATAACTGTTATATTTTAAGAATTAAAAGAATAATCTCCCATGAATTGAATTATTTGATGCCTCATTGGTGCGAGCTTCTTCCACTCTAGAGAAACTTTTAGTTATTTATTTTGGATTTTGGTCAAAATAAATACCACCAGTTCATGCATGGTATGCCACTAAGTGCCTCATATTTGCTCGGTTATATCTAGACTTATAGGACTGATCAAGTAAAAACTTTTACCTTCCAAGGAATTGAGAAGACATACACCAATTGTCAGTCTTCCTTCTCATATCATTGGTTGCATAGGTGTAACAACTTCCAGAAGAGAGAAGGCTTTCGCACGATAAGTAAGAAATCTGATTTAGTAGTCCGAACGTTGTGACATCTCCCCTGCGTTGTTTATGTTCGTTTCCTTGTATCATTTAAGTGATCCGTGCGAAGGCCTTCTTACTTCTACGAGATGGTGATGGGTGACAATTGTTGAATGAGGTTAAATTGCGACACGATCCTTAAGACTTGGTTTAGGGGCCTAAACTAAGGGAGTTAGCAACAACACAGAACTTTATCAACTATTTGAAGTGGTAGAAAAGTTTAGGGATATTAGATTCTTGTACAGAGCGCGAAAAAAACGGACCACCCTGAATAGCTTTTCGATAAGCTAATTTCGATTTAAATAACTGAAATTTTTGAATGCGTATGAACTACTCAACCGATTTTGATCGAATTTTGTATTCTGCCATGTAAAATTACATTCTTTAAAATCATGCAAAAAATTTTATATCTTACAATTCAAAATTTATCGACCATTATTAAATAAAATAACAAATATTTTTTAAATTTTTTTTTTGTATTGATTTATCTAAAAGAATTTTATAATTGTGCTCAAAATTTTTTCAATTCAGTTAAGAAGTTCTCGAGATATAGCGAAATACCCAAAAAGTGAAAATAACATTAAAGGGTCCTCCTAACTTTGGAGCGTTCCTCTGACCAAACTATCCTATTTCCCAGATCACGGTTATCCCCTTTATTTTAGGGGTCAGAATTCCGAATCCATCGAAAGCATGTTTTTGTGTATTTCGTAAAAGTATTTTAAGTTTCGGCTGTATTTTGTAACTTAAAATATCGTCTGAACAAATTAATTAGCTTATTCGAAGTCTACCCTCAAACCATTAAGATTGAGTCCTGGAGAGAAATATTTTAGAATATATTTTTCTACTTTTTAGAACACATTTAATTCTAAACTTGTTATTTCGAAATCTTTTTAGCGTCCCTTCAATTTTGAGATATCGAAAGTATTCTGTAGTCATTTTTAATAGTTTAACAACAGTTGGCAACAAAAATATGTACACTATATATTTATCATGCTACGTAATTGTTTGCTCCATGTTCATTCGAAACAGTACAATAACTCAACGTTAAAAGTCTAAAATGAATGCCCATTTGAAGTAATTGTATTAATGATAGTCGAATAGAAAAGAGTTGCTTACCAATGGTGCTGAGAGTGACAAAACAGAAATAGGAACCATCCAAGAAACCCCATCCTTCCCAAAGGGAGAAGAGCACAGCTCCTCCAGATATATAACCCACCAAAATCACCATGCAAAGCGTTATGGGTACAGATACCCTCACTTTGCCGTTGTAATCCTCTTCTCGGTACATTTCATCTGATATAGGCTCGATCCGAACCTGTGAAAAACAATTTTTTTTAAGCATACAATAGTTGTGGGCATTTTTAATTTTATTTGCATTTAATTTAAAACATTACTGAAATGCAATTAGAATATTTGTCATATCAATTTAATAACCAAAACTGGTGGATTTACTGTTTATTTATTTTTGTTCTTCTTTCTATTTGTGAACTTTAAGTTATACTGAAGCTTAGATTGCTTCTTTTGTTCATGACAATTTTCTTCATTTTCTTTTCATGTTGCAAAAAGTGCACAACACACAATTCACAAAATTTCGCATATTTTCAGACCATTCGTTTAGAAGAAGATAATTCCAGGCAAAAATAATTTTTGTTTAAGTATTTATTATTTTTTATTATTTTATTAAATAATTGTGGAAAAAAATTAAGTAGTAAGGTATACAGTTATTTACGTCATTTTAAAGAATTCAATTTTAGATGACAAAATTCGAACATTTGAGCAAAATCGGTTGACTCGGGAAGAGTCATCAAATTTTAAGTTTATGACATTCTCTAAGTTTGATGTCTCAGGAACTATTCAACCGATTTCGATCAAATGTTTGAATTGTCCATGTAAAATTATATACTTTAAAAGGACGTAAAAAATTGTATACCTTACGACTCGAAATTTTTTCAACTATTATTAAATAAAATTGGTTCTGAAGTCAACGTTAATGGCAATATCGCACCCGAAATACAAAGAAGAATCAATAGTGCAAGTAAATGTTTTTATGGATTAAAAAAATATTTAAGATCAGACCTACTAAAAAGAGATACTAAACTGTTAATTTATAAATGCTTAATCAGACCTATCCTAACATATGTCTCAGAAACTTGGACAACAACACAGAAAGATGAGAATTCCTTGGGAATCTTCGAAAGGCGGATCCTAAGATCCATTTTTGGGGGCAAACAAGTTGATGGTACTTGGTACAGACGTTCAAACTCAGAACTCTATCGGGCCCTTAGAGAGCCTGATGTTGTCAGGTATGTAAAAATTCAAAGAATTAAATGGGCTGGTCACATCATTCGAATGAACAGAGAGAGTTGGACAAACATAATCTTTTCGGCTCAGCCCATCGGATCAAGGCCCAGAGGTCGACCAAAGCTGAGATGGGCCGACTGCGTGGAAAGAGACTTTTCAGTCTTAAAAGTCTCAAACTGGAAGACAACTGCCAGGCAGAGGCACGCCTGGAGGAAGTTGATTGAGAAGGCCAGGGCCCACCCGGGCTGTCGTGCCATTGAGGAAGGAAGGAAAGATTAAATGAAATAATAAAACATAATAAATATTTACTAAAATTTATTTTTCGCATGGAAATATCTTTGGATAAAAGAATTTTATAATAGTGGGCAAAAATGTTTCAATTTGACTTAAAAGTTCTCGAGATATGGCTAAATACTCAAAAAGTAAAATTAGCATTATGGGGTCCGAACTTTAGACCAAACTATTGAGACCCTATTTCCCAGATTGCGGCTACCTCCTATATTTTGAGGCTCTGAAACTTAAAGCTGTCGGAAAATGAAGGTTATGTTTATTCAGAGAAAGTACATTTTTGTGTCTCACGTAAAATGTCGTCATTAATGAATTGGCATAAACTTCTCTAACTATTGAGTCTTAACGTAAGAAGATTCAATCACTAGACTAAAAGTTATTCAAGGTTGATTCGTTTTCCTTCTTTTTTTGCGCACTGTACTCCAAAAATTGTGTCACGTGAGTGAGGCGTCGCGGACAATGCAATGACAGAGTTTTGACGACGTACATTCATTTTCTTACTCTTTCCTTTAAATTTGAAACAATGGCCACCATTTTGCTTCATCATCCTTCTTCTCTCTTCAGGAACTCATTTTTACAACAATGACATTGCTGTTAGGAAAAGGATTAAAGTTTATTGGTCTCTCAAGGCTTATATGTCTCATTTAAGCTCGCTCTTCTTTGTTATAGTTCAAGGAAAAAAATTTATGACTCACACTAAAATCTCCGCGGCTTATTACAACTGGGAACTTGCACTTCAAGAAGAAGATAACCTATACCCACACGTGTGACCTATGGCGACAGTTGGAGTGTTAAAGTTAAGCTAAGTTTCTCCACATAAGTTGGAATGTCAATTAACGTTAAGTTAATTAAATACTGAGCCCTATCGCAGATGAATTCTTTCTCGTCTACTTCTTTTACTTAACTGTGATTTATCAGGCAACTTCGATGCACAATTAGTTTGCTTATGTACTACATGGCTTCAATCCTGTCCAATCCTTGCACTTTGAAAGAAATATAGAGGGAAAGAATTGAAATCTTTGTGTAAGAATACAGAATGTGCCACTTAAGAGAATGGATACTCGAAGGGCTTGGCTTACTTTAAATAGAATGGGAAGAACAGTTGCCAATGTAAACAAAGGCCATGTTTCAACGACCCATCAGGATCGATATACTCACACTACGACACCTGCACGTATTTCATTGTAATTTTTACCACAAATCTCGACACAACAAAATCCCAAATCTTTTTACACAACACTCAAAGTTTACTACAATGAACCATTGAACAAAAAAAAAGAAGACTTGGTTAGTTGTATATAGGATCATAAATTATGTGTCGTATGAAAATTATTGTCACTCAAATGTGCTGATAGTGTCATAAAAATAGGCTTTGGTTTTTTGGAAAGTAAAAAAAAAAAATATGCATAAAAAATTTATAAAATACCAAGATTATGCACTCTATTTGTTAAAATATCAAAGAATTGAACATCATTTTTGTGCTATCCTAAATGTTAGTTTGCCGAAAAACCAACAGCTGACAAAAACTATCTTTAGTGGTAGTTCAATGGAAGGGGGGCTGTAGGGAAGCAAGAGGGAATTCCCCATACATTAGGATGCGCAGATGTGATGTGCGTATTCTAGTCATGCAAAAGTATGAAAAATCATTTCCATTAAAACAGAGATTTTGCATGGCTTCACGATTTCCCGTAACTCTACTACTAACGCTATTTGAGCTTCATGCTCTAAAATGTGTCTATACATTTCACAAAAACCGAGGAGTAGACTGCAAAATTTCTCTGATATATTCCTCAGAGTCCGGTTGTAGTAGGAAAAAAATGGGAAATTTTCATGATTTGACACTCCTTGTAACGAGGCTTCTTATCTTGTCACCCTCGCATGGTTATCTTAATACTTGCCTATATAATTGGATTCAAAATTAGGTAAAAGTTTTGACAATGAGGAAACACGTTAAAAATTAAACAAAAATATAATGTCTCTGCATAACAATTTTACTTAATTAACAAAAACTTTGTTGCTTTTTGTGAAAAATCGATGTTTTTTTGTTGTTGAGCGAAACAACGATGAATGCAAATGATGATGTGAGCGGAACAAACTTTCTAAGATTAAAAAAAGAACAAAAAGAAAGGTTTCCATGAAATCTCTGAGCAGCGATGGCTCAGAGCGTTCCAATGAGGTGAACTGAGTTCGAATGGGTGGGTAGATACAAATTCCCCATCCGGATTGCACCGACCACAGTGCTGACGTGAAATATCTCCATTGATAGACAAATCAAGGGTTAGAGTCCCCTGCCATAAGGTTAACCGTGGGAGGTTCTCGTGGTCTTCCTCTCCATGCAACGCAAATGCGGGTTAGTTCCTTCAAAAAATCTTCCACGAAGGCAAATTTTTCACACTACTTGATCCAGGAGTTCCCTTGTCTTCTGGATTGGGTTCAAAACGACAAGACTATGGAGTTGAATATGAGTAGTCGTAAACCTAAAAATTGGGTTCAACGACAGTTATAAAATAAAATAAAACTCTTACCTCGTCTTCTATGATGTGAGACATGGGTGGCGGAGGAGGAGGTGGAACACTTAAATGGAACTTATCATCAATTTCTAATCCATATCTTCCAGATGGAGAGGAAGCATTTCCGACAAAATGTTGAACTCTGTAATTATCCGCCAAATGACGCCTGCGTCGGGAATCATGATTCGGTCCTTGGCTGTCTCCAGTACAAGCACATGCCCTGCTGTATAAATAACGGAATGCTTTGGCCAAGATGTCGCCAATGTTAGTGAGATAAAGTAGCATCAGTGGTATTCCAATAATTGCGTAAAATATGGTTGCTATTTTTCCGGACGGAGTCCTTGGCGCAATGTTGCCATAACCTGCAAGGAAAAAAAATCATTATTTCAAACGCTTCATTGAAAAAACAGGTTTTTAATTGATTTTTTTATTGACCTATATCACTTGGATCAGTCTGCGTAGGGACCGAGGGTGTGTGGTATGGGTCTTCGTTAAACTGTGCTACCGTGAAGTGCTCGACTTCTCGCGCAGGTCGTCGGGCTACCGAAGCGGGGGTGCCATCCCCTCCACAGAGGATCAAAATTGTGATGGCATGTCTTCGGATCATCCTCCGGGATGTTTCCCAGACAGTCGACAATAGCCCATTGTGCAGCTCTAGGCGACGTAAATTAACAACAACTATTGACCTATATACAGTACATATTAACATATGTACTGTAGATAGGTACTGTGAATGACTGAAATGTTGACTTCCACAGGTGATTGTTGATAATCACATAGTCGCTTTTTTAAATATCCTAAAGATATACTAAGTCTAGTTAGGTGCCACTGTCCGGTATAACTTACAATGATGTTTTTTTTGAAGTTTAGTGCCACAGCACGGTACTCCCAACATTGTTGTTTTTCCTTATCTATTCTCAGCAGATTATTAAAATATCGAATAAATATAATAATATCAACGGACAAATTAACATCGAATTGGACATAGCAAATATTTTAGACATTCACCAAAAGCGACTGTGTGATTGTTAACAGGTAAAAGTCGACATTCTTTTGATGCCTGTCATTCACTGTATTATGTAGGAAACAATATGTCAGGTTATGGAGGTTAAAGGTTATAGCTACTACATAAGCAGCACTCTTTTGTCGTCATTTTGAATGACAATTTTACGTGAATAGGGTTGAATTTCGTTAGCATGCGGCTCAATTTTATCCTTAAAAATGTGTTCATGAAATTTACCCGTAGACTTAAAAAACCTTAGAAAAAAGTCTTAAAGCGTTAATTTGAAAGATATGGACTGTAGATTTTGATCACCACAATGGCAATTGTGGTGATCACAATGGCTACTGCTATACGTTCTTATTTTTAGCGACATTTTATAGTTTAAATGGCCTGAAATTCAATTCTTGCGTGAATTTTCACATATTGTTTAGTATTAATTTAAGCTAAATTTTTTTTTAATTAAAAAATTATGGCTCCATCTTGTAAAGGATAAGGTAGAAACAAAACATAATTTTAAACCCAGTCAACCGATGGCGATAATGTATGAATTTCGTTCATGTTGACGCAGCATATTACCGGTGGTAGACAAATCACAAAACTTCTTACCGTTGGGCTAATCATTAAAGGTTTTCGTTTAAATCTGCAAAGTTTCACATAAAATCCTGCAATTTGCCTGGAAGTTATTCTTTTCGGCTGGGTTGGTGTAATACCAGAATTTACCAGCTTGTATATTATTTGTGTTAATTAAGAGATGGCGCTGCCATCGCATGATCTTGGGGAGTTACCAAAAAGGAGTTAGTTTTGTTCCAACCAGCAACGAGTCCGCATCGTTTGCTTTTATTGTGTTTTCCTTTGGATGGTTGACAGAATGAGAATAGCAAACTTCCTAAAACCGGAAGAAACTTGGTAAACTTCCGGTGTATCCCTTCGCTTATCTTACGGGGGCGATGTGTGAACAGGTTCTAGGGAAGTTTTATTATTGTGATTCGTTTGTGTTTAAATTTACTCGTAGAGTTTTCTGCCATTTATAAATTCTAACAGGTCGTGAGCCTAAAAAAATTTTAATAAAGTGTAAGGTTAGCTATGTTTTGAGTGTTATTCCTTATTTGGCTATGTATATTGTGTGGCTATATTTGTGGTTATTTTTTGGGTAGCATCATAGCAATCTTGCGGAGTCTTCCGAATTCATTCGTTGTTTGTTTCTTCGGAAGTTAGATTGAAAGAACGTGTTTTATTGGAAACACTACAAGTATAATAATTATATTGGATGGTGCATTTTTTAAAGCTTAGGCGTAAAAATCAGCCGAAGTAGTAACCCTTAAGTCTTACGACTCATTTTAATACCTATAGTGCCATCTGCACTTTGCTTTACACGGTCAACCATCCATTTGGTAATACATTTCGTTAATTTTTATTTTGAAATTTTTTTAATAAGTCCATATCAATCGAACCACAGTTGGGTTCCAATTTTTTAAAACAAAAACTAAACATTGGTAGCCGAATATTCCATTAAAACCTCAAGAGAATTGCAATATATTTTGAATGAGTTTACTATGCTTTTTATTGGAACTTTAAAACTGACAAATGTGTTCATTTTTCAAGCAATTAGTAACTTTATTTAAAAAAAAAAACATTTTATTAACTTCAAAAGTTATAAATGTGACCCCATTTTTTATAAGCCGCTAAGACCACTGGTAGACTTAAATCCATACTTGCCAACTTTTAGTCCTACCCAAGTTTAGTCCCGTCTGCGTCAAAAGGTTATATGAGTAGATTGTCAAGTCAAATCGACAAGAAGAAAAAAATGACTTGCAATCAATCATTTTATCTATCAGGAAAGAGGATTGTAACTTACTTGGTATTAAATGACGAATTTGCCAAATAAATTCGACAAAAAGTATACTTAACGTAAGCAAACTACCATTTTGGCCATCCTGTTGTCAATTTCATGAAATTTTAGTTAGTCGCCTTCAAACTTCTAATAATGGTCCAAAAGTATTTGTTATTTGTTTAAAAAGTGCCCTACATGCTACCTATTTAGTTAAATAGTTAAGTTTTGTTGTAATGTTAAGTTTTTACGGAGCTCAGAAAAACAGAACATTCTTCTCCGACGAGATGCACATTTGATTCGGCATTAACTTGAAATAAAGTAATCATTCGCACAATCTTTAGAATTTTTCCTCACCAAATTCGGATAGATATTACACCACACAGTTTTTAGTATGACCATCAACTCAAAATGACTGAGATAAAAACCTTTGAAAACAATCAACTTGCGTATAAAATAAACGACGGAGATATGCTTTAGTGGATAAGCAGGCATATTTAAATGAAAAAGATTTAAAACTACAATAATTTTCAAACTATCAATTCGAAACTTATCAATATTTTTAGTTAAGCACATAAATAAAAATGGTTATATCAGCATGTCGCATTCCAACATTTAGTTTCATTCCTATGAACTGTAAAGCTGTTAACAGGGTATTTTTTCTTACAGGTTCAACAATTCTCGAATTCTCTTAATAAGTTTTTTATTCGCGCACGATTATAGTTCCTTACATACATTTTCAATTTCAATTCTTATAGTTGTTACTCTGCAAAACAAAATGTAACGTAATGTTCTACCCCGAATCATTGGCGGAAGTGTTGCTGACGAATTTATTGATATATGGAATTTATTATCGATAGATGGAATTTTAATAAAAAGAAAGCAATCTTTGATTCTTTAAAAAATCGTTTGCGAAGATTTTAAAAATAAATTTTTTTGGAAAACTTAATATTTTTAATACAGAAAAGATATTTTGAACAAAAATAGATGAGAACAAATTTATTTAAAAGAATTTATAATTTCTGACCGATTATTATAATATGAAAATAAAGGATAACTTCCATTTTCAATTTCCTTACAACACAGATGGAAATTGACAGATTCGTGACATTGGCTGCGGATACAGTTTCCAGAGAAATCGATCGATTTAGGAAATATATAACGTTATCCACGAAACTCATTTAAAAAAAAAATCTTTTCTTACAATCTATTTTGTGACAGGGTTTCTGGGCACAATGGAAAATTGCTATAAAACAGAATTCATTTAAGTGTTAATGGCTTTTACAATTGAAAAAAGAATACTTTCTACTTATTATATTGATAACATTTTTATGACGTATTAAATAAATTTCTAAGAACTTCTGTAAAAAATAATCAACTGGATACCTGCAAGTGGGTATCTCGATCTTAATAGGTTGTTGAACCGTAGAATTTGCTTACGTTAGCAACTGTTCTTTCCATTCTATTTCGAGAAAGATAAGTCCGTCAAGTATTAATTCTCTTAAGAGACACATTCTATATTCTTTCACTAAGATTTCAATTCTTTCACTATATATTTCTTACTGACCATAAAGACAGCCGCTTTATTGCGACGTTTTATAATACATATTTGCAGATGTAATAAGTATATCCTATTTTTTTCTCCTCTCATTTTCGGAAAATTACGACTTTAAACATTGGTTTTATTCGAGTCCAAACTTTCGAAAAAGTTTTTTCTTTGTAATAGGAAAAAGCCAATTAAATTGAGATTGTGCTGGCGTTTCATTAAAATTTAACCAGCACTGAAAACACTTTAAGAGAGGAGCTAGCCTATTATATTACAGGGGGTGACTAAAATAATAGAAACGGTTCTATACTAATACATTTTTTCTTATTTCTCTAGAAATACTTAAAGAATAATTTTATAACTTCAGGAGCGATTCTTCATACTTATCATTGGAGTTTAAAGCTTTTAGAGGTTTGAGGGACCGACAAATGGAAATTTGTGTTTTTGAACACTCTGTGCCAAAAAAAGTAGCGATAAATTTGTAACTTGTAGCAATTATTTTAGTTATTATATGCAGTAATTGCACAAAATTTTGTAAGCCTAGATTAAATATTAATGGAGATACGGACATTTTATATAAAGAGCAAATTTTTTTGTTTGATGCTTTTTTTCCTATAACTTTTAAAATATTCAATAAAATTAAACAAAACTTTTAGATCAATTTAAAATATTAATATGAGTCATTAAAGTAGTTCTTTTATACTGTAATTTTAATTTTTTTCTTCTTAATTTTGAAGAGAATCGTTGTTGTTGTTGTTGTTGTTGTTGCTTATCCTCTAATTGTCTGACGAGGTCAGACAAGATCCAGTAAGTTGTTGACCCTCAAAAAGTCGATTACAAGAAGTGGAGAAGCATATAAGTCCTCCTTGGAAAGGCCCAAGCAGTCGAGGATATGTTCTGCTGAGGCCTGCTGGGCTTCACATTTAGAGCAGACTGCATAAGTCTTTTTTTTTTTTCGTAATTGGCAACAATAAAAAAACCAGAT